TTTTAAAAATTCAGGCAATACAGTTGCCACACTCATCAATTTTCAGAGAAATAGAGAGAATGCCCCTTTTGGGAAATGGGACTTTTCCAAAAAGAATACGCTTCATCTATGTTTTTTGTTTGTTGGTTCTTCCTCCTCCTCCTGCCCCACCATGCAGTCTCACTGTGTCGCCCAGGCTGGAGTGCACTGGCAACATCTCCGCTCACTGCAACCTCTGCCTCCTGGATTCAAGCAATTCTCCTGCATCAGCGTCCAGAGTAGCTGGGATTAGAGGTACCCATCACCAAGCCTGGATAATTTTTAGATTTTTAGTAGAAATGGGGTTTCACCAGGCTGGTCTCGAACTCCTGACCTTAGGTGATATGCCCAACACAGCCTCCCAAAGTGCTGGGATTACAGGCATGAGCCACTGTGCCCAGCTGTTTGTTGGTTCTTTGACTATGTTAAGCAGAGATTTTATCCCCCCTAATGTCTAGCCTTCTATATAGCAATAGCTCCACAATTAATGTCAAGCTTACCCTATTTATTTATTTATGCACTGCGATTTGATGAGCAAATCTTCCCACAGAAATACAATTCAGTTAGCCCATTATTAAGGCTTTCCCCCCTTTCTTTGAGCAGGACCCAGGGGTGCACACTGGAATCACTGGGAGAGGTTTCAAAGAAAAGAAAACCCAGGCTTCACCCCAGAACAATAAAATCAGAAGCTCTGCAGGTACCATTTAAGCATCAGGACTTTTTAAAGCATTCCAGGAGATTATAATGTGCAACCCAAATTAAGAACGACTGCATTTTTATTAGAGACAGGCTTTCCTCATGTTGGCCAGGATGGTCTCAATCTCTTGACCCCGTGATTCACCCACCACAGGTTCCCAAAGTGCTGGGATTACAGGCTTAGCTGGGCATAGTGGCGGGCGGGCGCCTGTAGTCCCAGCTACTCCGGAGGCTGAGGCAGGAGAATTGCTTGAACCCGGGAGGCGCAGGTTGCAGTGAGCAGAGATCGCACCACTGCACTCCAGCCTGGCCACGGTGAGACTCCATCTCAAGAAAAAAAAGAACTACCACAGATTAAACCAGTTTCATAGAAGAGGAAAGTGAGGCCCTACGTGGTTACTTGATTACCTATTTACATAAAGCTAATTCCTAAGAAAGGCAGGACTGCTTTAAGGCCTCAGAAAACTTGTCCACTGTTCTTTCATTTGCATTACACTTCAGGAAGCATAAGTCTAGGCTAGTTAGGAGACTTTTTTAACCCCAGGGAGATCTTTATTCAGTGAAGTGATTAATAACTGCAAAACAGAATTAAAAATGTGAAGACAGCAGCACTGTCCCTTCCATTTCAGGATGTCTCCTGAAAATTCCTATTCAGAATTGTTCTGAGAGGTTTGAAAATGGGGGTAGTTTAAGCATCCAAGAGCTGAAATACAAAAGCCCATTTTGATCAGCAACAAAAACAATCTCCTAGCAGGCATTACGCTAATCCTTGAAATTCCTCCTAGTTCTAACATTTTATGAGTTATGATGTAACTTAAATGTCTTGTCCACCATGTCTTACACAGTTCCTTCTACACATTGAGGCAGGAAAACAGGGTCTGGAGGCAGGGACTGAGGGACTCTTTCTGGGTCCACAGGGGTGGGGTTTCAAAAGCAGGAGTTTCCCGGCTCCACCCCTCCATCCGAGTAAAGTTCTTTGTCTAGGTTTCCCACCCATGGGCTAGGTGAATCCAGGTGGGCTTCTTTGTTCAAAAGGCGGAGGGGGTGCTGTTGTGGACCAAGCAGCCAATCCGGTACCAGAGTCAAAGATCAATCACTCCAGAGGAAGTTTAAAACTCCTCTCATTGGATCGAACAAGAATGATAAGGGAATAGCTCCAGGGTTAAAACTCCGCTACTCCTTACCTATATGAATATCCTTCTCCAGACTCCCCTCCCACAACAGGTGGGAGCTCTCTCTTTCTCTGCCTAATAAATCCCTTTTCTTTGGGTGTACAATATTTATTTTTTGGGTGTACGATATTTATTCTACCAGTAAGCTCACCACGGCTCCGGGGTCCCTTTCTCCATTCTTCAGGGTAAGAGAGGTCAAGGATCTTAACTGACAGGAGGGAGCTGAGAATGCAGCGCCGCCCCTGTTACAGGACCATGAGGCCAATTCCCACTTCACCTATGACAGGAAATATCCTCTCCACAGGGAATTTGCCAAGTAAACGACTTTGTAACTTTATTTCCTCCTCCTCATTTACATGGGACATATATCAAGTAACCAGTGGAAACCTCTAAAGGGTATTTAAACTCCCACAAATTCTGTAAGGGGGCCCTTGAGCCCATATGCTCCACCCACTCCCTCACTGAGTGTACTTTCATTTCCAGTAAATATCTGCTTTTGTTGCTTCATTCTTTCTTTGCTTTCTGGGCTTTGTCCAATTCTTTGCTAAAGATGCCAAGAACCTGGACACCTTCCACCAGTAACAACAACAGCTCCATGAATAAATGCAGAAACAAATAGAGGCAGACATAGAAGCTAGAGGTAGTGAAAGTCAGGTCACAGTGTTATTCCTGATGAATGACCCCTAAATTGCTATAATCAGGATAGGTATCCTAACCTGTCTACTTCCAACCCCTCATCTAATAGTAGAGGGTTAGTTACCAACTCTGTTCTCTCTCCCATGTTCCCTTTCGTCCACCTCTGCTTCAGTTCAGACCCTCTCATCTCTCACCTGGACCTCTACAACATAACAAATAAACTTCCTGTGGCCAGACTCTCCCTTTCAATCCACTCTGCAGTCTAGAGTATGTTTCTGGAATACAATTAGTGGCACATGACTTAGCATAAATAACAGAGCTTTGGAATCTTTCTGCCTCTCACCACATGCATCCCACGCTATGGCCACATCAACCATTGCATGCCTGGAGTGCCCTTCCTGCCACATCCTCCTAAGCCCCAGGTTCTTTTAAGATGCCATGCAAATGACACTTTCTCCATGACAATCTCTTCCACCCTACAAGGAGGTAGGCCCCTCCCTTCTCTCTGTTTCCCAAGTACTACACTGCTCTTAGGCCCTTTTACAATCATGTTTTAACTATCAGATCTTATCTATCTCCCCAGGGAGGCTCTTCAATCCAATCAAGTATTTATTAAGCACCCTCAGCATCAGGCTGCCCTCTATGAATTGGGAATACAGTAGTGAGCAAAACAAAATCTCTCCTCCCATAGAGCTCATAGTCTAGGGTAAGAAATTGACAAAATATATTTTATAGGTAATGTCAGGAAGTGATAAGAAGAAAAATAAAGACAGGAAACATGGATGCTATTGTAAAGAGGACGGCTGAAGAAGTCCTCTCTCATTCCGTGATATTTGAACACAAGCCTGACAAAAGTAAAGCAAAGAGCCATGGAGAGAATTAGAAAAGGACATCCAGGGAGACGTGTGATACAGGCAGAGGGACCTGGATGTGTGAAGGTCTCCTTGGAAACTTATTCACCTTTTTATGTCCCCATTGCTAACCAAAGCCTGGCAAAAGTCCAGTCATTATTGGGTATATTATTGCTGAGCTCACGGCCTGGTAGAGATATCACTCCTTTTCACCACTAGTGGTTCTCTTCTGCCTAGAGAAAAAGTACCCCAACTACAAAGAGCCCTACTACTCTGCTGAGAATGCCCTAAAAGTAGTCTTTTAAGGCCGGCTCAAATGCCTCTCCTCAAGAATCCCTTCCATCTGTATTCTCATTGAGTCTAGTTTTTACTTCCTCTGTGGCACATACCCTGCAATGCTTTATCTTGCAAGTAATTGTGTACAGACATTACCTTCCTTCAAACTCCTGAGAATCCAGATTATGACCTTTTGACACAATTTTGTTCATGAAACTTTAGGAGGGTAGGGAAGGAGAGTATGCCTCTCCTTCCATGAAGGCTTACTAGTAGTTGTCACAGTAAAGGTTTTCATAATCCTTTTCTCTAATGCTGTCTCATGAGTCTCTTTACCATATTTCCGAAGTAGGGAGGTTAGTCAAGTTCTCAAGGGAATTTCTGAAGCTTAAATAGATGCTTCAGGCCAGTGTAGTGGCTCACGCCTGTAATCCCAGCACTTTGGGAGGCCGAGGCGGGCGGATCGCTTGAGGTCAGGAGTTCAAGACCGGCCTGGCAAACAGAGTGAAACCCATTCCTACTAAAAATACAAGATTAGCCGGATGCAGTGGCAGGCGCGTGTAATCTCAGCTACTTGGCAGGCGGAGGCAAGAGAATCGCTTGAACCCAGGAGACGGAGGTTCCACTGAACTCCAGCCTGGGCGACAGAGTGAGACTGTCTCACCAAAAAAACAAAAAAAAAACCAAAACCTAAATAGCTGCTTCAATAGCTGGGAAGTGTGGGGAATGGATGCAGTGACCTGATGTTAACAGTGCGGGTGATTTACGTGGCTGGCGGGGCCACACCCAGTCATTATTCACTTTTCCCGTCCTCACCAGGTTCTCCCTCTTTCCTTGGTTGAACTTCACTACCAACTTTCTTTACCCTCCTCCAAGGGCAGACTAACCAAAAAAAGAAAAAAAAAAGAGAGTGGATATAGAATTTTATTTTTTAGAAGAAAAGACAAACCATATTAACAGCTCCCATCCCTACGATATAAAAGTGCCAACAGTTACGAAAATAGATGCTGAATAGTCGGTCCTCAGCTTCAATCTGCGGCAATGACTAGTGCCTAAACAAATCATCAAGTCACCGGATTCTGAAAATCACCTACTGTAAGTAAGAGACTACCCTTCTAACTCACTGTAAACAGTCCCAGAAGCGGAGACTAAGTAAAATCTGGAAATTCGACTTAAAAAAGATTCTGAAGGGAGCAGCACCAGGGGAGGTACCAAGCCATCTCCAAACGCCCCTCAACCCAGAGGCGCTTTAATAATCTCTAACCCCGACTTCCCCCTACCTTCTCCACGTGTCCCTTTAACTTTCCTCTATCCTCACCACCCCTCCCAAGTCTTCGATTGCTTCCTCGGTTACCTGCTCCCTAAGTCTCGAAGCGTGGGCAAAACTCTGCAGTCGAAGTGCCGGCCGGCAAGGAAGGGGTGCTGGCAGAGGACGCCGGCGTTCCAGCGCCGCGGGTTCCACCTCGGGAGAAGCGCGCACCGCCCTCCCGGCGGTCCCAGAACTGCAGGGTGAGCTCTACCAACTAGCCCCGCCCACTCCCTAGGCAGGCCCCACCCCCTCGGCACAGAGCTTTTTTGGCCTTGGCAGTCGCCGTAGTCACCGGACAACCCGTTAGGCCCCTCACTTTCCGCGCCAGCTGGGAGTGCGCACCGCGGAAAGCTGGTGGGTGGGCGGTCCTAGCGCTTCCCCTGCTCGCTCCGGGTCTCTGCTGCCACACTCCTGGGGTGGGGAAATAGTCGCCTCCTGAGTCTCCATTCTGCTGCAGTGGCCCCTGCGTTAAATCTCCCTCGAGCTGCAGCTGTACAGGCTGCGGTAGCTCCTGTGCCTCGGTGCAGGTGGCGCAGCCTTTACTGGCTGCCGACCTGGCGGGAGGGTGCGGGAGCGCACGCTCCAGGTAGCGTGGGTCTGCGTCCTTCCTACCTCCTCCTATTCCTACCCCCGCATTCCCCGCCCCCGCCTCGCTCTGCGCCTCCTCTCTGGCTGCAGCAGAACGCTCCACACAGCCGCAGCGCCTGGTGTCTGGACAGCCAGCCTGTGGGAGGCACGCACGCCCACACTCATCCTGCCTGGCTGCACCCCTGCCCAGCATGTCGGCTCTCGAGTGGTACGCCCACAAGTCTCTAGGCGATGGTATCTTCTGGATTCAAGAACGCTTCTATGAGTCAGGCAACCGCGCCAACATCTGGCTGGTGCGCGGCTCCGAGCAGGACGTGGTGATTGATACAGGCCTGGGGCTGCGCAGCCTCCCGGAGTACCTGTACTCCTCCGGCCTCTTGCAGGACCGCGGGGCCAAAGAGGATGCGGCGCACCGGCCGCTGCTTGCCGTGGCCACCCACGTGCACTTCGACCACTCCGGCGGCCTCTACCAGTTCGACCGGGTGGCCGTGCACCACGCCGAGGCTGAGGCTCTGGCTCGCGGGGACAACTTTGAGACTGTGACCTGGCTCTCCGATAGCGAGGTGGTGCGGGCGCCCAGCCCCGGCTGGAGGGCCAGACAGTTCCGGGTACAGGCGGTGCAGCCCAGCCTCATCCTGCAGGATGGTAATGGGCCCCCTCGGGCGCGCGCTCTCGTTAAGGGAGGGTGTTGGGAAGAGACTGTCCGAGTGCCGCATGTTGGAGACCTGCGTGGCGATAAGGGGATTTATTTTGGCACCTCCTAGAACCACTTGTTTCCCCGTTCCCTGAGTTAAAAACCCACTTGACCAGCGCCAAGGCCTTCACAGACTTCCCTGCCAGAGATCAGCTCTGGCACCCTGTAGCGATTCTGAGTACTCCTTTGAAAGCACGCACCACCCCCTCCCTAGCCAGTTTCCTGCGTCGGCAACGGTAGTAACACTGCAGAGACTTGTGACTGACTAGGGATTTCCCATTCTTTCCCTAAGCACCTGCCCGACATTTCCAGGCGCTTACATAGTGAGTAGACTTTTAAGAATGATGCCTCACGGATAGTGCGTGTCATGATCTGTGCCTTTGAGAACTGCAGATTTCATCAGCTTGGTCACCACCGGGCATGGGCAGTGTCCACCTGTAGCCTTAGAAAGTCATCAGACCAGTGATTCCAATCCGCTAATGGATTGGAAACCTTTCAGGTAGATTTGTATTCTTGATGTTGCCTCACGAGAGAAAATGCTTGTTAGTAATCATAAACGTGGAATATGTCTGTCTTGCTTTATGACAGATATCTGGTCTGATTGAAAGCAAAGCCTGAGAAAGGAGGTAATTTTCGGTGGAGGTAAATTACGTGGACTAATGCATAGGTCCTGTTTGGCTCTGTGAAATACAGGTATGGAATTAGAGAAATTCATGGAGTGGAAATAAATAGATTAGAGCCTCAGCGCATTCTCCCTACGCAGGCACTTAAATAATTGAGCTAATTTGCCATAACAGCAGTATTTGGTATATTAATTTTCTATTTTCTTTTTAGAATACTTTTGATTTCATTTTATCCTCATAACACATTTAAAGTGAGGCCAGTGACTCCCCAGTTAAATGGCTTGCCTGAGCCAGATCATGATAAAAGCTTGGATATGAATCCAGGCACAATAGATCAAAGCATGCAGAACATACATAAATCCGACCTCATAAATATATGATGACAATTCTGTGTAGAATGCGAAAGGCCCCTTTCCTTTAGCCTGAGGCCATTTTAATCGCTAATTTGGTTTATTAAAACGTGCCTCTCTGTAAGGTAGAAAAATCCAGTTGCTACAGTATAATGAGCCTCACTTTATGACCAAACAGTATGGCAAATAATGAAATGTTTTACAAAAATCAGTTTATTTCACATATGAGATCTTACTCATTTGAGATATTTTTTAAATTCCAATATATTTTAAAATTATATTGCACTATTTATCAGTGCTAAAAAAAATTGCAAGATTCTGTACCTCACCCCCACCCAACAAAAGTCTTCATTAAAGTTTTAAATCTAAATTTTAAAAAAAGCTGGTTTAGATGGGAGTCTTACATTATCTGACAATATGAGATGAAAGTACATGCATATTAAATTTTAATTTACATTGAAATTATACTTAATTACTGTATTTCTTGATAAAAATGGCTACTTTTAGAGGTAAGATTGCCATGCCATTGATGGGTATCCAGACAAAATTCTGATACCCAGACCAAAAATGTTTACATTAGTATTAAAGTATATTTAAATTGTTTAAAAGAATAAATTACTTTTGATATTTACTTTTGATTCTGTGTCAGCAATGGGAAATAAAAGGTTAAAGAATCATGGGGATTGGTTTATAGATGAGGAAAATCCATGCAGGCCTGAGTATCATGTGTCAGGTCACATAGCCCATCTGGGAAAGAGCTGGGACTAGAACCCCCAGCTGATGGCAGAATTCTAACATTTTTGGAGCTGGAAAGGGCCTGCAAACCACTTGTGTGGTGCTTTAAGCCTTTAAAGGGGTGAAAAGAAAGATTGTTTACCAGACACTTTGAAGGTGATAGTACTGTGCTATCAAAGTTGTTTTTCATTAGGAGCTGGATTCTCCACCCTCTCAAGTAATATCTGATTTCCTCTCCTCTCAAGACTATTAATTTCCTGTATCTTCTGAATGATATGGCCTGCTAACTTGCTGTTAACATAATCCAGATGGCTGAGAGGATACATAAAGTATTTGTATTAAAAATACACACATAAACAGTATATTCATATTAAAGTTACACACATAAACAGTATAAAGTCTTCATTGCTTTAGTAGAATGCAAGGAGCTGAAGTCATTTATTACATTTCCTTTAATGAATTGATGATCACTTGTCATGGAGAAGCCTAAATCTGTGCACTGTATCTCTAACCCAAAAGCCAACTTGTAAATGAGGGACAGGGAGAAAATAGCCATATCATCCAGCGCATTATCCTTGATGGAAAAACAACTCGTGCTACTAATAGTGACATGGTTATCTTTCTCTAAGATAGCAGTAGCCCTTAGATTGGCATAGCACATATCTGAGTGAGCATAACATCATTTTGCCCATTTTTCAATATAGTCAGGTGATACGAAGTTCTGGCATTGTGATCCCTGTTACATACATGTTTAAACCATAAGCACAGTGTCACCAAGATATTGTCTCATAGGAATGGTTTCAGGTGGACAAGTTGTTTGTGGAGGTTAAAACAGGTTGTAGGAAGGTGGAAGATTGAACAGACATGTCTAATTTGGCTCCCTCCTGAAGCACCATTAATGTACTGTAAAGGAACCGCAATTTAAGTTATAGTCCTGGTTGGCTGCAGGAACTGTTTTGGATGCTAGAAAGAAGATGTGGTGACTAAGTTAGCAGTTTTATACTTATGCCAGCAATGGGAAATTAAGAGCCAATTCAGTTTGCACCGCAGAAACCTTAAAAAAATGCCGGAATTAGCAATAGGTAGTACTTCAGTGGAAGCAAAGAAGAATAAGTAGAATTTCTTGAAAACCTTTTAAGAAGCTCCTAAAACTCTAGTGAATGCCCCTCCCTCTCCCATCCAATTAGTTTATTCTCTGGGGATAATGAAACAAAGGGGTTTGTTGATTGAAGGATGCCAAATTATTATTGAGCTTAAGGGTTCAGTATGGAAAACAGGAGAGAGAGAGAGAGAGAGAGAGAGAGAGAGAGAGAGTGTGTGTGTGTGTGTGTGTGTGTGTGTGTGTCCTACTAGTTTCCTAGAAGGAACCAGGCCTTTCCCACCCAGGTAGGAATTAGCTAGGGAATCTGCCTCCTAGAGGAAAGACTAAGATACTGATGTAGAGGAATCCCCAAGAAATCCTGGCCTTTCTCTACTGTGAAGCCACGGTCACCAGACCCCATGCATGTGCTGCAAGCAGCCTTTTTGTCCCCTGTTCTTCTTTAAAATTGATACCTAATAGTTGTACTTAGATATTCTCATAAATACATAAAATGTAATGATCAAATCAGGGTATTTAGCATATCCATCACCTCAAACATTTATCAATTCTTTGTGTTGGATACATTCCAAATCTTCTAGCTGTTTTGAAACATACAGTAATTCCTTGTTAACTCTATAGTCTGTCAAACACTGAAACTTATGTATTTTATCTAACTGTATTTTTGTACCAGTTAACCAACCTCTTTATTCCCTTTTCCCCTCTCCCCTTTCCAGCCTCTGGTAACCACCATACTAGCCCTTCCTCCCACATATGAGTGAAAACATGAGATATTTGTCATTCCATACCTGGCTTATTTCACTTAATGCCCTCCATATCCATCCATGTTGCTGCATATGACAAGATTTCATTATTTGTTATGGGTGAATAATTCCACTGTGTATATTGTCCCACATTTTCTTTATCCATTTATTTGTTGCTGGACACTTAGGTTGATTCCACATCTTGACTATTGTGAATATTGCTGCAATAAACACAGGAATGCTTTAGTATTCTGATTTCCTTTTGAGGGAATGTGTTCTCTTTCTGGGTCCATGAGGGGGTGTAGTTTTTAGGGCAAGAATTTCCCAGTGCCATGCCCCCCTCCCATCTCTC